TGCTGATCTCTGCAGAGAGATGATAAAACAAACAAACCAACGCTGTCAGCTGCCCTGCTAAATGTTCTGCACTCTGTCGCTGGAACCTGCCCTGGGATCAGTGCAGGGGTGGTGCTACTTGCATGGGATCCTTATTTTTACTGTCAGAAGGAAGTTTGCTTTGTAAGTATGTTGTTAATGGTGGTTTTTTCCTTTAAGCAAGACTTTGTAAGCTCTAATCCTACACTGGTTTATATTATCAACGCTCCTAACTGGATTTTCAGCTCTCCTCGAGCTTTAATACTTGCTAAAATTGCTTTACAGGTTTGTGGGATCTGTCAAATTTGCATTTGGTGTCGAGTACATTATCTGCTGCTGCTGCATATTAATTGGCACTGTCAGGATTGGTCGTCCTAAGAGTTTGGCTCTCCTTTTTGTGGCTTTTGTGTCTTTTGTTTGCAGATGAGAGGCAGAATGTGTGATTTGGGAGGGTCTGCAGGGCTGGGGTTGGAACTGAAAAATCCTCTTTCCTGAGTCCTTGGGACCCTGTTCCTGAGATCACATTCCAACCTTGATAAGGAGGGACTGAATACTGAGATGGAGTTGGGACAATTAATAAGTTGGAAGTGTCCACTTTAAGGCTCTATGGCAAGTCACTTGAAAAACATCTTGGGAATAGCAAGGGGGGTTGCCAGTGCTTATTTTGATCCAGGAATCTTTGGTCTCTGCTGGCATTGTCCTTGGCACTGTCATAATGAAGGTCAGCTCTGGCTGGAAGCAGGGAAGGGGCGGCGGCTCCCGGCTCAGGAGCCTTGTCTCTGCTCCTGACCTGGCTCCGGCCTCTTGGCTGCCTCCAGCAACTGACTGATCCTTCCTTACATTGGGATTTCTGCTGGGAAGCTATGGTTGGTTTGGGTTTTTAATTGGCATCTGGTATGAAAATATTGTATGAAGAATATGCAAGTCATTGGTTGAGATTTCGAAGGATTTGGCAGAGGCAGTTCACAACTTCTCCTGGATCAGCTTTGCTCTTGCTTTTGGAGCTTTGCTGCAGCTGAGGGTTTGCAAATACCAATGTAGTTTTGCTCAACTTGGTTTCGTCTGATGTTATACGTAAATATTTCCCTTACTGTCCTCCTCATTCCTTCTCCAGGCAGGTGTGTGCTTGAGGGATGTTCCCCTCTTTATTTAAAGGTGTGAACAGAACCTGTCCACTAAAATAAAGATAAAAGTGGAGGTTTTACTTCTGGTTTACCTTTATGACCCTAGTTTTCTGTTCTTCCCTTGTGAAATCTTTAATCATGGCAATGTGCCAATATGTATTTGTGGTCTATAGCTAACAGGTTTAGTTAAAATATTTGAAGCTGAAGCAGTGTGTGCTCTGCAACCATAGTGTAGGTCCAATCCAAAATTCAGTTAATATCTTCTTTAAAGAAGTTCTTGTTGAGTGTTTTTAGCTGCTCTGAGGCCTCTTCCTTGCACTGTCAAGAACTTTTAGTGTCTCTCTTTTTTTTTTTTTTTTCTCTTTAAATAGGGTTTTATAGACAAACAAATGACAGGCTCCTGTCTAGAAGAATTTACAATAGAATCTAATTAAATCTCTTGCTGTTCTGCACCACAAATAATCATAAATAATAATAATGTCTCTTGACACATGTAGTGGCACTTTATCTTCAAAGCACTTTGGAAAGCTAAATGATCATTGTCTGTCTTAATAAAATATTTCCTGCTTAAATTATCAGCCTTTGAGCTCCCCTGGAACTCTATGCTTGCCCAGCACTGCCCAGCCTGGATTTTCCGTGGGACACAGAGGGTTGTTTCCTTCACCTGTTGCCCCTCCTGCTGCTTCTCCCACAGCTGTATCCCATCCTTTTAGCACAGAGGAAGCAGAGCTGTTGGAAAGCCTGGCCTGGGAACCTTCTCTATCCTCTCTGCCCAAGTCAACCATGTCAAATGGAGTCATTTAGCAGAATAATAGCTAAAAGCCACTGGCAGAAGAGCAGCATCCCCGTGCCAAATGCCACTGCTCTAGGGTGTCACAGCATCTGCAGGGTGGAGCACAGGAGGTAGGAGTAACTCCATCGAGGCTCGGAATTGAACTGATTCACGAGCAGATTTTCAGTGCTTCCTCTGGGTCGTGTTTACACAGAAGCCAGGTAGTAGCAGATCATGTGTTTACTGGAATTATACTTTGAATTCCCAATCTCTGCCCCTCTGAGTGCATATAAGGATAAAAACTAAGGCATTTTTTTTCTGTTTAGTTGGATCAGAATCTATGTAGATTCTCTTCTACAATTATGAACTTCTGTTTCAGCATAACATTCTGCTAGTGGAAGGTGTCCCTGCCTATGGCAGGGGGTGGGACTGGGTCATCTTTAAGGTCACCTCCAGCCCAAACCATTCTATGATTCCTTCTATAATATCACTTAGGATATCTGTAATATTTCTTCACATAGCTTGTGCCTGTCTCGCTGTGCTGTGTCAGTGCCCAACCTAGTAGTAGGCATTCTCCATATTTTGAATTTTACTAGGAAAAAAGCATTTTTCCAGTATGTTGTTGTCGGGTTGTTGTTGTGGGACACCCAAGCTCAAACACTGGAAGAGAGGAAGTCGAGCTCATGTCCTGCCTCCTCCTGAGGGCACTGAGCTGCTGTTAATTGAAACCTGGTGACACCATCGCTGCTCCCTCTGAACACAGAACCACTCTCCTGGTCCCTGTCTCACCCCATTCATGTGACACCTCAAAGGGAGTTAAAGCTCATTAATTCTTCTGCCTTTCCTGGGGATTATCTGGGAAGTCCCTGCTAAAGTGTATTTCTGTTCACAGCTCAAAATAGGAATGCGCGGAGTGTCACACGGCTCTGACCTTGCAGAGTTCCAGGCCCCAGGGATGCTGTGTGGCTTGGAGCTCCAGAGTTTAATTAGAAGGAGTATTTAGGTGTTAATCAGAGGTTTTGATGTATTTCTAACTTCATGGAATCACCTTTTGCTCCTCTAAGAGCAAAATCCCTGAGCAAATTGCTGTCCCCGCTGGCTGATTTGTACTGGTGTTGTTTCCTGATTTTATGATGTAAAACAAACCCAGAAGGCCCCAAATCCATCTCTCCTCTTACTCTTTCTCAATCACTTTATTATTATAAGAATTTCTAGAGTCTGTGTGAATCTGTTTACCTTGCTATGAGCTCTCTCTGCCTATCTGGTACCTTAAGGAAGAGGCACCAGTTGTTGCTTTCAAACACCAGCATCATGTTTTTAGTTTGTTCTTCCCTCCTGGTTCTTCTGTTGCATTGGGGTTGCTTTCATTAACTGCAGTTTTGCACTGAATTAAGAGTTGTCTTCAGGGATGTCTTTTCAGGCACACTATCAGTTCCCTCTCCTGAGCTCCTGTCTTACACATACTGTTAGCTTAAGTGAAGGTAAAAATATTAGAAGCACAAAGAGATGTATTGGCAAAAGAGGAGAATATTGGGATGAGAGAAGGAGTTGATGTAAATTTTGTTGTCTTTCTTTCCAGAAGAAACTGGAATCAGTTTGAAACTCTAATGTTGTCCATAGAAGAGTTGACAAATTCAGGTTTCCTTAAAAGGAAAATTAAGCTAAAAAGTCATTAGTGTATGTATTTGTTTTGAGCCTTTTCACTGTGTTTGTCCAATGTAAAGCTTTAGGACTCACAATGAGGGAGCAGCAGTAGAGTTCCCACTAGTGACACAAATGAAGCTCAGGATATTTTTGTGTGCTAATTTTAAGTGGAAATAAAAATTTACAGACAGCAGCTTCTTCATAGTGAGCATTTGAGTGCTGGACATAGTGATCCAGATCTTATTTACACAGGGAGCTTCATTTATGCCTTAGTGCTTGTTTCAATCCTGCCATTACCACAAGATGCTGCTTTTTTGTGTCTATTGGTGACTTAAAGTTGAAGTGTTAAAAACAGAGTCATATAATATAATCCTAGAATGGTTTGGGTTGGAAGGACCTTAAGGATCATCACATTCCAGCCCCCCTGCCATGGGCAGGGACACCTTCCACTAGCCCAAGTTGCTCCAAGCCCCGTCCAGCCTGGTCTGGAAAACTTCCAGGGATGGAAGGAAAAGCTTAGGAAAAGCTGATCTTCATATTTTTAATATTCCTTGTGACAAACCCTCTTTAAATAGTTTTACGTATTCTGATTCCTGCTTGATTTCCTTGTGGGTTTTTGTGGGACATCTGTAGGCTGTGGTAGGTGCCTGCAAAGGCTTTGGAAATAAAATCCATCACTGTATAGCATCTCCAGTTGCTGAAGGCTCTTCATCTTAGTGGAGTTGTTTTCAAGATGGGCCACCAAAGGAAGATAAATATTTTCCTTGGTCGGATATAAACCATCAGGTGCTGATGTGTTCGTGTGTTCACAGAATTGAGTTTATTGCAATCCAGGGGAAGATCAGGCTTAAAGGTGAAATATAAAGATCCACAAATAGAGGCCATTGAGATATTTGGGGACAAGTTATTCACTTTAATGATTTGCACTTTGTCGTCCCAGTGAAACAGAGAGTAAGCGCATCCTGTGGGCACTGGGTGTCTGTGGGGGTACTGATGTTTCTGTGTAAATATGGTCAGATTTGGGGTATGTGAATCGATGCCTGAGCAGGAACAGAAGGGGCTTTGCTTTCTCCTTGCCCTGCTGTGACCTGATGAGCAAGTTGTGTTCAGCATTTCTGTATTTCCAGATGTGGAAGCTCTCAGGGTGCTAGCTCTTATCTCCCTAAAGATGAGTTTGAGGAGCAAGTGTGACCTGTCCAGCATTTAAACTGGGACAGCAAATCCATTCTTCATCTTCCATGTGTATCAAGACACAGAAATTCCCATTATTCTGTTTCTTATATTTGAAGTATAATATGAAGTAAAAAATGAATATTACAGTCTATGGTTTGACTCCCAGTTCCTGTTGCCTGTTGGCGTCAGAATGTATCATCATGCAATAATCTATATAAAATGTTTTCATGTTTTGCTTTTGACTATGTCATTTTCTTCTTTCATTTCAGTATTCCCAGGAGCAATCATGGATGAAAAGCTGTCTTACAAAGAATATCTCGATCGCAAAGAGTCCTGGTCGACAGATGAGAGAGACCTGTGCTTCGACTCGCAGCCTGTGTTCAAACCCATGGAGATGGCTGGTAGGACTTGATTCTGAAATCTAGAGCATCCCTTATTTGATCAGCTGTGGGATGTGGTGGAGTCCTGGCCTCCATCCCTACGGGTGCTTCTGTTTCCTTACCTTCTAGACCCCAGTCAGTGCTGGGGTTCCCCAGGGCTCAGTGTTGGGCCCAGCCCTGGTCAGTATCTTTGCTGATGATCTGGGTGGCAAAATCAAGTGCACCCTCAGTCAGTTCACAGGCAGCACTAATTTAGGTGGAAGTATTGATGTGCTGGAGTGCAGGAAGGCTCTGCAGAGGGATCTGGACCAGCTGGATCTCATATGCGAAGACCAACGGTGTGAGGTTCAACAAGGCCATGTGCTGGTCCTGCCCTTGGGTTGTGACAATCCCATGGAACACTCCAGGCTGAGGGCAGAGGGCCTGGAAGGCTGGGAAAGGCTCTCGGGGTGCTGTGGCAGCAACTGGACATGAGCCCAGGTGTGCCCAGGTGGGCAAGAGGCCAATGGCCCCTGCTTGTAGCAGCTCTGGTGTGGGCACAGCCCCAGGGCAGTGCCTGTCCCTGTGCTGGCACTGCTGAGGCACCTCCAGCCCTGGGGCAGCCCTGGGCCCTCACAAGAAGGACATGGAGGGGCTGGAGGTGTCCAGGGAAGGGAACGGAGCTGGGAAGGGGCCGGAGCAGCAGGAGAGGCTGGGGGGGC